TAGTGTCATTTGTCTTTGAGTTACCTACTCTTGGGACTAGTGCAGATACCATGTCTTTTTTTTTTTTTTTTTAAATCTCTGAAAGCTACTTAGGAGTGAGCTGGGATTGCAATCCACCCTCATTTTGAAAGGCAGAAGATTAGACCAATTGATTGTTCTTAAGAGGCTTTCTGTTGCTAGTATGAAATTTGGCACTCACCAGTGAGTTTAATTATAAAGTGCTCTGAACTTCTGGACAGTGCACAATTTAATAAAAGTACTGTGAATGGAAGATGGTAACCCTTCAGTGTTCAGATCGTAAATGGATCTTATGTAAATGACTAGGTTAAATAGATTTATAAGCTGGTTTAGAAAACGCCATTCAACAAGTTTTCTGAGTTTGTTTAAAGCTAAACCTTTAAGTAACCAAATTGAGGCTGCCATATAATGATTTTTATGGTCACAATTTGTATCAGTGTTTGAGTCAAAATAATTTATTTCTGTATTCTACTGGATTATTATAAGGGAATTACAGTGTATTTGATCTAGGTGAATGTTTCTCAAACTTAAGCACACATTAGAATCGTCCAGAGGGTTTGATAAAACACAGATTGCTGGGTCCCACCCCCAGAGACACCTGGGGTGGTGCCTGAGAATTTACATTTTTTCTTTCTTTCTTTTTTTTTTAAGATTTAATTTTTGTAAGTGATCTCTATACCCAGCGGTGTTCGAACTCACAACCCCAAGATCAAGTGTTGTATGCTCCATTGACTGAGCCAGGCCATCCAGGCACCTTGAGAATTTACATTTCTTCTTCTTCTTTTTTTTTAATTTTATTTATTTATTTGACAGAGAGAGACACAGCGAGAGAGGGAACACAAGCAGGGGGAGTGGGAGAGGGAGAAGCAGGCTTCCCGCCGAGCAGGGAGCTCGATGCGGGGCTCGATCCCAGGACCTTGGGATCATGACCTGAGCCGAAGGCAGCCGCTTAACGACTGAGCCACCCAGGTGCCCCCACTTATTAGGAACTTTGACCAGACTCAGCATCTTGCCTTTTTGAAGATTGGGCCAGGACAAGGGAATAGGATATTTATAATGGTGGTATAGCAAGTGTTAATGGCTATAGAGGAACAAATGTAAAGCTATAATGAAACTTTTGTTTTATTATGGTTAGAAAAATGTTTTACAAAAGATTTGTAGTTTCCATTCCTAGTTAATGACATTTTTTGATTGTATCACTAAAACTGCATTAATTCAGCTCACCAGGTATAAGGAAGTGTGTTCAGCTTTTGAAAATCCCCTGTTAAAGATCCTTGAGATTTTTCAGTTACATCATGACTTTTTAACATGTTTCTTCTGTCACAGTAAACTGTCATTTCTTGTGGTGTCAGTGGCAGTACTCCCTTTGAAAATTATGGCTCTTAAATTATGGATTGAAAAATTTGAAATCTGTTAAATAGCGCTATAAAAATCAAAAGAAATAGATGTACAAGTTTTAATGGAAATAGATCTTTGTTTTGGCTGCAAAGTCTTTGCATAGTTTTTGGTGACAGTATTCAATGAAGGTGTGTACTGTGAAGCTGAGTTTCAGATAGCAGCTGCTTTCCCTTTGTTTTGATTTCCCTTTTAACGTTTTTCCAGTTACTCCTGTGTGATAGATTACTCCAAAACTACTCCATTTTATGATGCACACAGATTCTGCCTGTCAGGGATTCAGACAGGGCACACAGTGGGGTTTGTGTCTCTGCTCTGTGATTCCTGGGGCCTCAGCTGGGAAGACTAAGGCTTGTTCACTCACATGTCTGATGCCTGGGTTAGAATGACTCTAACACTAAGATTGCTGATCAGAATTCTTATATAAGACCTCTTCATGGCTTGGCTTCCTCATAGCATGGCAACCTCAGGGTTGTTGGCCTTCTTGTAGGATAGCTTGGGGCTCCAAACACGAGTGTTTTTAGTGACTAGCAAACAGGACAGAGATACATTACTTTTATGATACAGCCTTGGAAGTTTACAGGATCGCTTCCACTGTACTCTGTTGGTAGAAGACCCCTTAATACAATGGCAGAGGAATTGGAGTAGTTCTACATGGGGCAGTGCCAAGGTCACATGGTAGAAGACTATGTAGAACTGCAGATGTAGCTGTCTTTGGAAAATGTAATCTGCCATAGAGTTTTGGGTTGGATGAATACTAAATTTGTTAATTGTGTAGAAAATTGGAGTTTTTCTGCTTTAGGATAGCTTGTCCTGGTATAGGATAGTATAGATTCATAGTCAAGGATTATTATAGGTTAAAGTCCTGGCAGTATCCTGAAATCTGTCATTCTTACTATCTTCTATAGCAAGAAATTTTAATTTTTTATTCAAACTGTATGTGTTTGTTGCAGAATAAGTACACAAAACAAAGCAAAAGGAAAAAATTTCCACCTATAATTCTACTCAGGTATCATTCTTAACATTAAAAAAACTTTTCATATATATATTTTTATATATGTACGTTTTTTAGGAATTTGATTTGATATCCATTTTAATGGGCATATGTTTTAAGTTCTTAAGACATTAAATGATAAAGCTAAGCTAGGTAGGTAAAACTCTACCCTATGAGGGATATATAATATACTCAACTCTGTTACTTTAGATTTAGCAACAGCTTCTTTGAAAAAGATATAAAAAGGGAACATAATAAATGCCAGGTATAAACTAATAGTATTTTTTCTTCTGCCTAATAGTGAATTCAGAATTTTTATTGTACTAGCACTACATTTTGGGTCCTCTTTCCATTCTCATATCTTTTGTTATCTGTATATTTCTAAATAGAGGAATCCTGACTATAATAAAGTATTATTATACTCTTAAGTCATCATCATTAAAAGCAAATCTTGTTTGGCTTTTTATTTCTTAAAAGAAAAGTTAGCTTACCCTTTTAAAAAAGAGAATGAACTGCCTTTATTCATCTTCAAAGAATGTTCAAAGGCAGTTGAGCACATCTTTTGTACCTGGAATTAGGCCTGCCTTCATTTTTCAACCATAGACAAATTTTATACCTTTCCAGAAGCTGGAGGTTGTTGTGTGAAATAATCCACCTAAGAATACAATTGGATACTTTCATCAGCCTTTAATGTTTTAATGTTTATCTTGGTTTTATTTACCTCCAAGATAACTAAGGAATTGTTAGGCTTTTTTTTTTTTAAAAAAAAAGATTTTATGAGAGAGAGAGAGAGAGAGAGAGAATGAATGGGGGAGGGGTAGTGCCGGGGAGAGGGAGAAGCAGGTTTCCCGCTCATCTGGGAGCCCAACATGGGGTGTGATACCAGGACCTCGGGATCATGAACTGAGTCAGTGGCAGACGCTTAACCAACTCAGCCATCCAGGTGTCCTGTTAGGCTTTTTAATTTAGGGTGGAACGGTTATGCAAGTTGATTAATGTTTCTGGTACAAAGAAAATGGATCGTTTGACCTGAAACTAACTAGTATTGTTTTTAAAACTTGTTTCTTTGACCCTGAAAGCATTTTATTAGATTTTGTATTTTGTTTTATGGTTAATTTTATTTTTGCTGAGGGTAAGGAACAATAAATATTCATAATTTATTGTGATTATATTAATTAAAAATATTTTTCCCCCTTGGGGTGCCTGGGTGGCTTAGTTAAGTGTCCAGCTCTTGATTTCAGCTCAAGTAATGATCTCAGGGTTGTGAGATTGAGCCCCATGTCAGGCTTCACGCTGGGCATGGAGTCTGCTTAAGATTCTCCCTCTCTCTCCCTCTGCCCCTTCCCCCTCTCAAAAAAAATTTCTCCCCCTTAATTTAGGTTTCTATTTACTCCCTCTCCTCTGACCTTTAAAACAACTCAATTCTTGACTTTTGCATTACCTGGATATCTTTTCTTTGGGGTCTTATCAAATAGTAGTAGCCTGGGAAACTGCCAAAGTTTTTTAGTGAAAATAAAGATGACTTAAACCAGAGGTTAATTTTCTTTTCCCACTCTCATACATTTATTTATTTATTATTTTTTAAAAAATATTTTATTTATTTATGTGACAGAGAGACACAGCGAGAGAGGCAACACAAACAGGGGGAGTGGGAGAGGGAGAAGCAGGCTTCCCGCTGAGCAGGGAACCCGATGTGGGGCTCGATCCCAGGACCCTGGGATCATGACCTGAGCCGAAGGCAGACGCTTAATGACTGAGCCACCCAGGCGCCCCCCACTCTCATACATTTAATTCCATTTGTGAGAAAATGAAGCAAAGCTGTTGACTAGCACACTATCCATAGGTGATGTGATAGCTGAAGTATTAATGTTGTTCAAAAGAAATGCGTGAAGCTCATCAAAGATAATACGCACTTGGGTCTATTTAGGAAAAATACACTCTTTTTTTTTTTTTTTTTTTAAGATTTTATTTATTTGACAGCACAAGTAGGCAGAGTGGCAGGCAGAGGGAGAGGGAGAAGCAGGCTCTCCGCCGAGCAGGGAGCCGGACGTGGGGCTCTATCCCAGGACCCCAGGATCATGACCTGAGCCGAAGGCAGCCGCTTAACTGACTGAGCCACCCAGGCGCCCCAAAAATACACTCTTTTTATATCACTTAGTCACATGAATTCTTTGGCAAGGGCAAGAGAGGGATAAGAATTCGACACTAAAATGTCTGATATGCTCCTGTGTAAGCAGGATTGTAACCAAATTGTGGCCCTCACTCATGTGGATAGGAGCCATTTGTGCAGGCCATCTGATGCAGATCTTTTTTGAGAAACCTAAAGAATAAGCAATGTTGTGTCATGTCATTGGCTTGTAGTACAAAATTTGGTATCATTCAGCAGGGGTGGGAGTATCTACATTCATTTTTTAGCTCACTGTTTATTAACTAACTTCATGCACTAACTTAAACTGAAATTAACTAAAATGTATCTTTAGGGCAAGATTTGAGACAAACTTAGAGGATTATATGTGTTTGTATTTCAGCATGGTTAGGCTGGTACATACTTTAATGTGGGGCATAATTCTATTTCTTTTTTCTTTTAACATAGGGCAAGCTTGATGATTACCAGGAACGAATGAACAAAGGGGAAAGGCTTAATCAAGATCAGCTGGTAAAGATGCTACATTTTATTAAAGACTATATGTTTGCTGTTTTTAATAAGAAAATTAATTTGTGGTTCTTTGTGTTTTAGTAAAGTTGGGTTTTGTCTTTGTTATTTTAGGATGCCGTATCTAAGTACCAGGAAGTCACAAATAATTTGGAGTTTGCAAAAGAATTACAGAGGAGTTTCATGGCATTAAGTCAAGATGTAAGTAAAAGATTATATGTGTGTTTATGAAATAAAAATAAGGAAGGCAGAAAATTTTGTTGTTTCTTTGGGTTTTAGTCCTTGTGTTACTGTTGATAAGCTCTCTGCAAGTTGAGGATTGCTTTCAGTTACACCTAAAACGCTTTTCAGTTCTGTAAAGTTTAATATAACACCTGAAAGATACCTGAGAACTGAGATTTCAGATATGACAAATTGTTTTTTTCCAGATATGACAAACTTAATATAGTAGTTACCCTAAAGATCTCATTGTTAAAAAAAAAAAATAGCCTATATATATACACACACATAATTTCCATATATTTCTTGCATATGAACATTTATTTTCCATATATTCCTTTATGCCTAATGACCATCTTACAGTTCTTCTAACGATCAGAAAATAGAGTCTTGTTTTTATATTTGGTAATCACTCTCTCCATTAGGGATCTTAAGGAATGTGGCAGACTGGGATACATAGCTCTTGTGTCAACTCATGATCTAACAAAGTGGTGTGTTTTTCCCATACATCTTTTGATGTGATAGAAGTCTTTGGGAACAGGATAAGAATACAAGCAAAGTCAAATAATTTGTTGAAAATTGAGGGAGACCAGAAAATTCATATTCTTCTGAATTAGTGTTACCTTATTTGGAGAAAGGTTAACAGCATTAGATACAAAGTTGCCTCAGATTGGGTAAAGTGAATAAACAAAACAATTATGTGATGAGAGACATTGCAGTACAGAGATAAAAAGTTCTGATTCGGGAACCAGACTGTCTGGTTTGAATCCTGATTCTGCCACTTTTATTTAATAGTTGTAGGACTTTGAGTTACTGAACTTGTCTGTCCCTATATCATTCAGGGTATTCCAGAGAAACAGAACCAGTAGTATCAAAAGAGAGACAGGGAGAGGAGAGAGGCTGTCACAGTGCTTTGGTTTTCTAATATGTAAAGTGGCGATAATAATGGTCCCTACCTCATCACAGGGTTGTGCTTGGAACAGTATTTGACTCATGGCTAATATGTATCGTGCACTTACTATATTACTTACTAAATTTGATTAAAGTTGGAAAATATTGATGATATCCCTCAAAATGGAATAAAGGAAACTTAATTTACACCCAAGTAGGGAATTGTTCCGCTTCACCTAGGTCAGAATCCTGGCAATTTCTTTTTCTGATTTCTTTAAAAAAATATGGATCATAGAAGTAGGACTGCCATACAGTTTTTTTTTTTTTTTAAGATTTTATTTATTTGAACAGAGAGAGACACAGCGAGAGAGGGAACACAAGCAGGGGGAGTGGGAGAGGGAGAAGCAGGCTTCCCGCTGAGCAGGGAGCCTGATGCGGGGCTCGATCCCAGGACCCTGGGACCATGACCTGAGCCGAAGGCAGACGCTTAACGACTGAGCCACCCAGCCGCCCCTGCCGTACAGTTTAATAATAGAATCAATCTAGGGTGCCTGGGTGGCTCAGTTGGTTAAGCGACTGCCTTCGGCTCAGGTCATGATCCTGGAGTCCCAGGATCGAGTCCTGCATCGGGTTCCCTGCTCCGCAGGGAGTCTGCTTCTCCCTCTGACCTTCCTCCCTCTCATGCTCTGTCTCTACCATTCTCTCTCTCAATAAATAAATAAAAATCTAAAAAAAGAAAAAATAGAAGCAATCTATTTCTCAAGCTATTAACACCATGTAAGTGAAAAAAAATACTTAGATTCTCCTTTGCTTCTAATTTAACAGTGATGTTTTCAGGAACTTTTCACTGGGCATTTAAATTTATTGGGAGTCTTTTTATTGAACTCTGATGCTTTATTGCACTTTCCCACAATTTTTAAACGCCTTCTTTGTTTTGCATTCAAGAGTTCTTGGGGCTCCTGGGTGGCTCAAGTTCATTAAGCGTCTGCCTTTGGGGTCCCGAGTCCCATTCCTGGCTCGGCGGAAAGCCTGCTTCTCCCTTCCCCCCTACTCATGCTCTTGCGCGCGCTCTCTCTCTCTCAAATTAAAAAAAAAAAAGTTCTTTAACCTAGCTCCAGCCTACCTTTTCGAGTTTTCATATTCTTTCTTACTTGAATTGCTCATTTTATCCAAAGTGGCATTCTTTATCTTCTTTCTTTTGCTTTCTTAATTTCACATTCCTGCGTCTCTTCCTATATTTCCTGCCTCTGGCTGCTGGCTGCCTCTCTACCATAAAATTGCACACACACACACACACACAGCCCCTGTTCCCCAGTAAGATTGAAAGCTCATCTGTCTCAGGAGTAGATGTTACCTTCTGCCTGAAAGCTTTCTGTACTGCCTTAGCTCAGATTTCATCTCTGTGTTTGTATGTAGTATTCATTTGCTACTTACCGTTAAATACCATTTAATCTGCTACCCTCTCTGCTGCCATCATAGATTTGTCTTATTGCAGACTTCATTGTTCTCCTAGGTCTCTCTTCCCCATTTCTCCCTTTATTATACATTTCGTATGTCTTTATTTGGTTTTCTCTGTCTCAGTTTATCCTGCTGAGGCTTGGGAAATGGGAGAAGTGGGAAGGAAAACACTTTTATGGCTCTTGAAAAGAGTGACCTTTCTTTAAAAGTCTGACCTTTCTTTAACCCCAAGCTGACACTATGCATGAGAAAAGAGAGACCTACTTGAGTTTGGTGGATGCTCTCCCTTTACCTTCCCAGGAAAGTTAAAAGACTAGCAGAAGGAAAAGAATAGTGGGGAAAAATATGTGTGTACTTAGCATATATCTCTCTTCTACCGCCACCTTCTTTTTCTCTGCCAGCATACCTTTATTCATAAAAACAAGTCAGTTTCTTTTCTTTTTATTATTGTTTTTAAGTAGCTTCCACATCCAACATGGGGCTTGAACTCAGGACGCTGAGATCAAGAGTCGTATGCTTTACTGACTGAGCCAGCCACTATTAGTCACTATTTTCAATATGTTAAGATAATATAGTACTAGCAGTGGATTGTTGGGGGTGAGGAAGGCAGTGGTGGGTTGTAGCATCTCTTTGTGAGTCGATAGTAGGTATTTAAAGTGAAAAATTTGGACCGTTTTTCCTAGAGGAGATGGATATAGGTAAGATTTTTTTTTATTGTTACTGTGTTTGGGTTTCTTTCTTTCTTTCTTTTTTTTTTTTAAAGATTTTATTTGACAGAGACACAGCAAGAGAGGGAACACAAGCAGGGGGAGTGGGAGAGAGAGAAGCAGGCTTCCTGCTGAGCAGGGAGCCCG